ATAGTAAAAAATATAAAAACTAAAAATTAAAAAATTAAAAAACATCGTCAATTAAAGTTTTAAGTAATTAAAATTTTAACTTTTTAAATTGAAAATATCAAGTTTAAATCATTAAATGGGTGGGAGCCTATCATTCCATGTTAAAAAAAAAAAATGCTACACATCAAAAAGGAAAAAAAAAAAAATTCACTCTAACCACTAAACCAAAATTTCATTAGTAACCCGGTTAACTACTAATTAAATATAGTTATTTCCAAAACAATACCTAAACCCTTTGGATTTCATACCTTACAACAATGGAGTAAAGTGCAATTTTCAAATGTACCAGCTAACCACAGAATTTAGAAAGCCGGTAAGTCGATCCAATAACAGTTTAGTCTTTGGAGCTGTCGGTGGTCTGTGGACCTCGACACTCCAGCATTACATGATCATCTAAAACATAATATTCCTTTGTAAAAAAGAAACAGAAAAAAATATACTCGTGTACCTTTTATTTATTATCTTCTTCCCCCTGGCTGGCTTCATTGCTATGTTGGCTTCTATTCTACGAAATTGACAGATGCACTAATGCTTCTCATTTCTCTTTCTAAAAGGTTCCCCTTTCGCTTTCTCTCTGCATCTAGCTGTTCGCATTCATGATTCCTGTCGTTTCTGCTAAATCTAAGGTCCGGTAACTCTCTCATTCCTCTGTTGCAGCTTCCTTCATTTTTCATCCTGTTTTTGATTCTTTGTGATTTTCATTCGCTGGAGTTCGATCTGCACTTTGTTGAAAACTTGAAATCCAGCTTGTTATTGTATAATTTGTTTGAATTCAATATTCAGCTCCTTAAAAGGTAGTGGATTCTGAGATTTGCTATCTAATTTCAAGCATTGTTCTGGAAATGTTACTGAAGTAGAGTGAGTTGATCTGTTTCTTGATCGATTCGCTTTACTAGTATATATGCATTCGTTTAATATTGAGTTAGAAGTTTTTAGTTAATGAGATTTGGGGAAAGGAATTTGTGTATTGAAGTGATCTCACTGGATCTGATTTGCAGGATGTGTGAGTTATGATTTTTTGGTTTAATTGTTAATGCTTTGCAGGAGGTTTTGATGTTTTGACGGTGTCTCGTGACTGGATCCGGAGAGCGGCAAGGTTTTAGATTGATTTTTGATTAAGAATCTTGAAGCTAAGCAAAGATGGCGGCCACACTGGCTTGGAGATTTGCTGCCAACAATGGCAGCAGCCTTGCCACCAATGACATGGTACTTCTCCTATTTGTTTGTCAGTTTTATCATATATATATATATATATAACTTAAGCTGACTATGGGGATTGATGGAAAAGATATGGATCATGATATTCCCATTTTTAAATCCGACTGTAATTATTATGAGGTGTGATAGATCTCATTATTGGTAACCTAGTTTATGGAGTTTCCATTTTGGAAATGATCTGACATGCAAGATATTTTGCATGATGAAACTTGAGAAATTTTAGGGTATATGTGGGTTTTTATTGTTTAATTATACTTTTAAATATGTATCTGAGGATGGAAGTGGAGAAGGCTACTGTTAAAACAAAACTATAGCAGTTTATACTGATATCAGATGAGGTACTTCTTGATGCATCATTGCATCTACAGAAAAATAGAAAACACATTCATATCTATGTTCATGTAGTGCCATGTAAGACTGGTGTTCTCTAACATGGCAACAATGCTTTGGAATACTGTCTTTCTAATACCACCTTTTTGTTGTCATATGTGCAAAGTTAAATCTCCATGTGTATTTCTGGTGGATGTTGGTTGAGAGGCATAAATCTGCCTTCATTTCCATTTCTGCCTGTTTGATTTCCAGTTTCCATAATCCCATAATCTTGTAATTGGTGTAGATTTTCGTGTTATTTCCTGCTTCAATAAATTAAACAAGGAGCTGAATATTGGAACACTCTTTGTTTAGGTTAGCATGCTCTCTCAATCAACCCGGTTTCTAACTGGCCCCGTACATGTTTCTTAGGTTTTTTGATATTTAGTGTGTGATCATGATTGAAAGGGTAATTTTGAGTTGTTTATATTATGCTCATTTTTCTGCTCTAATGGTTACAGGAAAAAAATGGGGATGCAAAACTTCAAGATTCAGAACCCCCAACTCCACATTCAGTTATAAAGATGAGTTTGAGGTACTACAAGCTTTAGTGATACTGAGCATTGCCCAACTGATGTTTTTATTTATTTACCCAGCTTTGTGTCTA